TTAACACAGCATGTGTCTTGAGAAAGGTAAGATCTGAGGAAGTCTTGTAGTCTTCAATTAGGACTAAAAGCTGGACTCAGAGTGGACTCTGCACCCCAGTCCAATAGAGGCTGCAGGTCCCCTGACCCATTGCACCAGATTTCGTTTTCTGTCTTCATTCGTCACTTGCTCCTGGGCCATTAGGGCAACAAGAACCAACTAAGGGGATAAAGAACCTAAAATCAAAAGAAGTATCGTCACCATGGCAGTCTGTGTTTTCTGGACCTTGGTTCTCCACTAGGTGGTAGCCCAGTGATGGGAATAGTTCACACTTGGCCTCATGGCCGGTCTTTTGTTCAATTCAAGCATGTAATCAAGAGCTGACTTGGATAAGAGATTTATCATTTTAAAACAGCCAAATGCCCTGAGACCTCCAGGCTTGGCTATGGAACTGTTTAAAACATGAAGACCTGGTTAGACTATTAGACTTGAAATCTAATGAAACCAAACAAAAGAAAGTAACAAGAGCCAGAGGGATCTCCCATTTCCGAGGGAAAGTGAGAAAGAAACACTGAAGCTTAAGAGAAATGAGCTGGCAGAGCAATGAAATGAAGGCGAATAAAGGGTGGCGGAGGGGAGGAGTCCCACTGATCTTGGCTTGCACAGAGCTCTCTCACGCCTCTGATCTGTGCATGTGCCCTAACTCCTGCAGGAAGCATCCAGGAGCTCCCAGATTCAAGGGGTGAAAACTTTCAACTGGTATTCTGTTTTCAAATCAGGAGATTTGAGATTCTGACTCCTGACTGAGATGTGGGATGCTAATCCAGATGTGAAAATCCTGGGTCCTTGCTTCCAAGGAAAGGCAATACAGGCCCCAAGCAGAGGCCTATGCTCTCCTTCCACTGAAGCACTGTCTTAACTCTCTCTGGATATATTGCTCCTGGTATATGATGCAGTTGAATTTTGGACATCACATAGTCTAAATTTGGAGCACTGAATTCAGGAGAGGGTGGGGCACTACAGTGGACTGGTTGCCTCAATGTGAAAAAAACTGGGTAGAATCATCTCTTTTTTGGAAAGACACTGATGTACTCTTTTCAGAAAGGTTCTGTTTGAAAATACAAGAAATATAAAGACATCTTGGATCCCAAAGGAACCCTGGAGACAGACCTAAGCTCACTGAACTAAGCAAGAGGTGGAAACAGGTTTGGAGCACAACAATCTGCCTTCCAAGGATACACAGTTACAAAGAACTAAATTCTGCCAACATAAGAAAACTACTTTGAAGGCAAATTTTACCTTTAATTCCCAGAGCTTTGGATGAAAATATTTCTTTTATGTCCACCAACACTCTACCAATTAGGGCTTTTTGTTATTTGATTTAAATCATAAGGGCAAAGAGGATGAGATCACTGCTGAAATGACAGCAAAAGTCAACCATGTAGGGAATCTACCTGAAAAAGACTCAGTAGGAAGCTTTGATTCCAAGTAGGTTCATGCTCTAAACCCACTTAGTTAATAGCCCAAGGGACTGGAAGTCTTCACACCACACTCTGGAATGTGCTTATGAGAACCTAGGCTAGTGTTTCTTTCATCCTCTGCTCTTTCAAACCACTCCAGCTCTGGAGGCCTCAGGAGGTTTCAGACATTGGAGACATGACTGAGGAAGCTATGTCACAGAACAATCTGGGGGCTCACGAGAACACCTGTTAGTTAAATGACTTCAAGGCCAGACTGAGTCAACTGCCCTCCCATAACTTGCTCCTTACCTCCTTCAGAATAAAAGCTTCTGCATATTCCAACTACAAATGGAGTGGTGGAAACATTACTTCCCTTTAGTGGAAGTGACATGTCTTATGGACTCAGAAGCCTCCTTCCAACCAGTTTTGACTGTTATTTCTCCTCAGCACCATGAAGAATGTAAAAGCTTCCATTTAACTTAATACCCAGATGCCAGCAGTGTTACTTCAAATTTCTCTTTGTCAGAAAAGCAAATATTTAAGTGTTACTTTTCTAAGCTTTTTTTAAACAAAAACAAATCCTGGGATGGACCAAAAAATGCTCTTCTTTGAGTTGATTTCTATCCAGGGAACAAGTCTGTAATGTCAACAATAATACAATTCTCCATTCTCTGTTCCTGAGAGAGGGGGTTAGGGGTTTGAAGAAGGAAATGCTGCAGGAGGGCACAAATAAATGAAAATCTAATGATAGGAAGTAGAGGAATGGTGAGGCAAGTGGGACATTAAACTGAGGCCTCCAAGGTAGTTTAAGGCTTGCTTTGTTTCACTGAAAAAATAAATGCCTGATTAATATGTGGGCAGGAGGAAGTAACAAGTGTTTTTTAATTTGTGTATGTGGGCACAAGAAAGTGGTATGGTACCAGAAATCCATAATTTCAGTATGCTGAAGTTCCTGATCATCTTTGTATGCTTCCATTGTTCTACTGTGTTTAGTATTGTTGTAGTGATACCCTTGGTTAGAATTGAGTGATAATAAGTGGAGTGGGTCCCCTCCTACACTCTTGGTAGGAATGTAAATTGGTAATGCCTCTTAGGAGAACAGAATGGAGGTTCCTTAATAAACTAAAAAAGCAGAACAAAGGCTAACCATTATATCAAGAGAACATACTGGTCATAGCAAAGACCCTTTTCCAACAACACAAGAGATGATTCTATTCAAGGACATGACCAAGTGGTCAATTTTGAAATTAGATTGATTATACTCTTTGCAGCTGAAGATGGAGAAGCTCTATACAATCAGCATAAACAAGGCACGGAGCTGACTGTGGCTTAGATCAGCAGCTCCTTATTGCAAAATTCAGGCTTAACTTGATGAAAATAGGGAAAATCACTAGGCCATTCAGGTATGACCTAAATCAAATCCCTTATGATTACACAGTAGAGGTGACGAATAGATTCAAGGGGTTAGATCTGATAGAGTGCCCGAAAAACTATGGATAGGAGTTTGTCACGTTGTATAGGAGGCAGTGACCAAAACTGCCTCCTATAGAAAGGAGAATCCCAAAGAAAAAGAAATGCAAGAAGGCAAAATGGTTGTCTGAGGAGGCTTTACAAATAGCTGAGGAAAGAAGAGAAGTAAAAAGTAAAGGAGAAAGGGAAAGATATACCCATCTGAATGCAGAGTTCCAGATAATAGCAAGGAGAGATAAGAAAGCCTTTTTAAGTGAACAAAGCAAAGAAATAGGAGAAAAAAATAGAATGGGAAAGACTGGAGATTTCTTCAAGAAAAATGGAGAGATCAAGGGAAAATTTCATGCAAGGATGGGCATGATAAAGGACAGAAACAGTAAGGATCTAACAGAAGAAGCAAAAGAAAATAAGAAGAGGTGGCCAGAAAACACAGAAGAACTATACAAAAAAGGTCTTAATGATCAGGAAAACCTCAGTGGTGTGATCACTCACCTAGAGCCAGACATCTTGGAGTGTGAAGTCAAGTGGGCCTTAGGAAGCATCACTAAGAACAAAGCTAGTGGAGGTGATGGAATTCCAGCTGAACTATTTAAAAGCCTAAAAGATAATAAAGGCCCATATAGTCAAAGCTATGGTTTTTCCAATAGTCAAGTACTGATGTGAAAATTGGACCACAGAGAAGGCCGAGCACCAAAGAATTGATGCTTTTGATCTGTGGTACTGGAGAAGACTCTTGAGAGTGCCTTGGACTGCAAGGATACCAAACCAGTCAATCCTAAATGAAATCAATCCTGAATATTCATTTGAAGGACAGATGCTAAAGCTGAAGGTCCAATCCTTTGGTTACCTAATGTGAAGAGTCAACTCATTGGCAAAGACCCTGATGCTGGGAAAGATTGAAGACAGGAGAAGGGGGCAATAGAGGATGAGATGGCTAGATAGTATGACTGATTCAATGGACATAAATTTGAGCAAACTCCTGAAGATAGTGAAGGACAGGGAAACTGGCGTGCTGCAGTCCACGGACTCGCAAAGAGTCAGACATGACTTAGTGACTGAACAAGAGCAGAACTACACTGCTTTCTCCACCTTTGCAGGAATTGATAAAAACATCAAATGTGTGAGTAAAGGTGGCACAAAGAATATGTCTTTATATAATAGCTCCAAATGAGTAAAATGGCAACATTCCAATCTATGAAAAATGAACCTCTTTATATTTAATTTAAACTTAAACTCGTGCTGATAAGTCGCTTCAGTAATGTCCGACTCTTTGCATCCCTGTGGACTGTGGCCCACCAGGTTCTTCCGTCCATGGGATTCTTCAGGCAAGAATTCTAGAGTGGGTTGCCATGCCCTTCTCCGGAGGATCTTCCCGGCCCAGGGATGGAACTCACGTCTCTTATGTCTCCTGCTTAGGCAGGTGGGTTCTTGACTACTAGCGCCACCTGCAAAGCCGCAAAAAACAAAAGACCAAAAAAAAAGCACACTTTCCCTGACCGGGAATCGAACCCGGGCCGCGGCGGTGAAAGCGCCGAATCCTAGCCACTAGACCACCAGGGAACTGCATGATAAGAGCGAATTAATTTTAAAGTTATATGTAAAGGGGTTAATAAATATCTGGTACAAACAATGAACGGAGCCTCACCGTTGAAAGGAACCCGGAGGACAATGATGAGATAACTCTATTCTTTCGATCCTGGTTTCCAAGTGACCTATCTGTTCTTCTCCAGAGCCAACATTCTTTTGTGAGGATCACCGATAATCATGCCTTAGGTTGAGAAGACATAGATGAAAAGGAGGGTAATGGAGTCCCAGTTCCAAGCTTTGAAGAAAGAATGTACAACGCAGAAATAACCGCAAATCCTTCGATTACGTCCTAAAATATGAGACGAAAGCGTCCCTGGGTGAGCTCGAACCACCAACTCTTCGGATGACAGCCGAACGCGCCAATCGACCGCGCCACAGAGACTTCAGCGCGGTTAGGTCTGTTTTCTACCTCCCCCACAACTTCATCCGGCAGAAAGCAAGCGCGCCTTCCACTCTAGGGGGAGCTCCCTGCCTTTAGCAGGACAGCGGTACCCGCTTCAAAGCCTATGAAAACGGGAGGAACCCGTGGGGAAGCCGGAAGTTGGGGAAGCCGGAAGTGGGGCATTCCGAAGGCAGAGGTCCAGCCGAACGTCCCTGCCGCGCCTGGCTCCCCACCCGCTGCACATGCAGCGCCCCGGAGATGCCCCGGGCCTGAGCCGAGGAGGGCCCGAGGGAAGCTGAGCGCCCGATGGGCTCAGTAGTCGTTCTTTCGGTTCTTTTCTCCGCCTTCATCTGACCTCCTGAGCCGTTGGCACTGCCCTGCCTCCGCTACGTTGCGGTCGGTGGGCGTGAGCCGGACGGAGGCGTTGGGGAAAATCGGTCAAATGCGGAAATGTAGGGAGGAGGAGAGGCAAGGTCAAAGGAAAGATACTTCCCAGGAGACCTGTTTTGAGGCGCGGACTGAAAGAGATGAAAAATGCATCAGAATGGGAAGAGAATAACGGAAGGAAGGCGTGACGGAAACGCAGGAGTACTTGACGGTGGTTCAACGAAACAGCTATACTTAAATGTAGGAGCGCAAAGACGTAGTTTACTGTCAGCACAGTGGCGCGCCGTGATCGTATAGTGGTTAGTACTCTGCGTTGTGGCCGCAGCAACCTCGGTTCGAATCCGAGTCACGGCAGTATTCCTTTTGCAGTGTATCTACAACTCTTTAGTAGACTCTTTAGTCACCAAACGGAGTAAGGTCAGGAGAACGGAAGTCAACCCAATGGTGCTCAGGCTGAAGTACTCTGGACTTGATCCAGGTCTCACCATTTACGAGAAAATATCTAAAGATCAGTTTCAAACTCTAAATGAGTCTTGTGTGTAGCTTCCACGAAAGAAATTGTGTACTCAGACAAGAGTCTTTGTGTGTGTGTGTGTGTGTGTGTGTGTGTGTGTGTAGAAATATTTCACGGAGAAAGCAATGTCAACCCACTCCAGTGTTTTTGCCTGGAGAATCCCAGGGACTGGGGAGCCTGGTGGGCTGCCGTCTATGGGGTCGCACAGAGTCTGACACGACTGAAGCGACTTAGTAGCAGCAGCAGCAAAAATATTTCAAATAGCAGCAAGGCTTTTTTACACAAAACAGAATAGAATTTAAATAAAGAATTTATAATATACTCCAATTCAGTCATTGTCTTCGCTGGATTCTCTGACGTCCTACCCACAGTTTTTATCCTAAAAGGAAATTATTAAAATGTGTTCACAGAACAAAATACACAAAACAGTAAAGGGCGGCTATTAGAATATTGCAATGTGTAATCATTACCAGAATCACAACAGAGAAATTTTTTTGTCATTCAAGCGTGGCCCTTTGATACACTTACCAGATAATGCCCACCCATCCCCTACTACTTTAAACAATTCTAATGTCAACTATCACCTAATTTGGCTTCGTTCTTTCTTCAAGTTCAAGTGAATGTGTGTATAGTTTTCTATCTAGCTATTATCAACCAACATTATGTTATATATATATATACACATATACATATATGTATACATATGTGTGTATTTGCGTTTCTCTCTTAATTTGGTGTTAATGATAAGCATTACACTAACGTAAAGCTACTTCACATATGATGAACATTGGGGTGATTTCAAGCTACAGTATTGGGAAAGGCTAATATGAATACCTTTCTACTATAACTTTCTTGTGTAACTTCACAAGTTATTTGAGAATAAATGTCTATTATAAGGGAGCCAAGGACAAAAAATTGTCCAGGAAAGCAACACCAGTGACCTTCTATGCTGGAGTGAGGGAGTGGAGGGGAACAGTGAGGCAAGTCAGAACAAAGTGAAATTTTTACTGCCAGTGAAGGGCGTAGCATCGTCAATCATTTCTCCACTCTCCAAGGTTCACTAAAGGAAGAATAACCCATGGAATCATCATTCCAAAGCAGTTTAGTGCAGTGTGGGCTCCACAGGAGCATTTTCTGGGCATCTCTTCTGTAAGAATGGGCCTGTAGGATTTCTTGCTGTTCCCTAAGAAGCAGTGGGAGAGACACCGGCCTGGTCAAGCCCCTGGGCTGTGCCACCCAACCCCTCAAGGAGGAGCATCATTCTGGGCCCTCGTATCAGCCAAGAGAACCAACAAAGCAAGAGGTTGCCTCCAGCTGTTGCAGGAAGGGGGACCCCTTCCAGGGCCTGAAACTGGGCTCTTGTCTAACACTCGGAAATGAATTGTCCGAGGAGACACATGTGCTGACAGAGCAAGAGATTTTATTGGAAAGGGCACCTGGGTGGAGAGCAGTAGGGTAAGGGAACGCAGGAGAACTGCTCTGCCGCCTGGCTCACAGTCTCGGGTTTTATGGTGATGGGATTAGTTTCTGGGTGGTCTTTGGCCAATCATTCTAATTCAGAGTCTTTCCTGGTGGCACACGCATCGCTCAGCCAAGACGGATGCTAGTGAGAGGGATTCTGGGAAGTGGACGGACACGCGGTGTCTCCTTTTGACCTTTCCCGAATTCTTCCAGTTGGTGGTGGCTTATTAGTTCCATATTCCTTATCAGGATCTCCTGTCATAAAACAACTCATGCAAATGGTTACTATGGTGCCTGGCCAGGGTGGGCGGTTTCAGTCAGCGTGCTTCCCCTAACACAGCCACCACAAGTTCTCTGTGCTCCTGTTGTTAGAAAACGTTGATCCAACTCCTTCCCCAAGCACTAGAGGTGTGTTGGGACATTTCACTTGTTGGGAGATTTCTGCTTGTTGGGAGACGTGGCTTACACTCCCCAAGAACACAGCTGGTGTGGAGAAGGGAAAGGGAGAAGGGAAAGCCATATGAGAGGCCTTAGAATTGGCTAGGCCTGGAAGGGAAAGCGCCCCTTGGTCCGGAAAGCCTCTGGCCTCCTTGTTCTTGGAAGTGGTGCCTCCACCACCGCCACCTGACATGCACTTGGCCCTAAAGGTATGAGGACTCTGGGCCACATTTCCCATGTTTTTCCACAACCCCTGAGGTGTGGCTTCTCTCTTGCTGGTGCCTGCCAGCCAGCCCTCAGAGCTCCCCAGGAAAGTGCCAAGCCCAATGGGTGGGGAACCTGCGTGCCCACAGACATCACAGTCAGGAGGCTTAGCAAAAGAAGTAGGACCCATCTATACACGTTGGTCATGAAACAGGAGGGCCATGAAAATGCAGGCTCTTACCCTAATTCCCAGGCAGTTGAGTACATGGCGTGGTGTGGCTCTTGCCCTGGGTCAGCAAAGCACAATGAGGCATTATGGAAGAGGTGTCATCTGCCATGAACCAAGGGATATCAGGAGAGAACAGCAACTCAAACCCCCCACTAGCACTGTTAGGGGAAGCACACTGATTGAAACCGCCTACCCTGGCCAGACACCATAGTAAGCATTTGCATGAGTTGTTTTACGACAGGAGGTCCTGGTAAGGAACAGGGAACTAATAAGCCTCCACCAACCAGAAGAGTTCAGGAAAGGTCAAAAGGAGACACCACCTGTCTGACCACCTCCCAGAATCCTTCTCTCTGGCATCCATCTTGGCTGAACAAGGCGTGCACCACCAGGAAGGACTCTGAGTCAGAATGACTGACTAAGGACAACCCAGAAAATAATCCCATCACCATAAAACCCAAGACTGCAAGCCATGTGACAGAGCTGTTCTCCTGGGTTCCCTTACCCAATAAAATCTCTTGCTTTGTCAGTACATGTGTCTCCTCGGACAATTCATTTCCGAGTGTTAGACAAGAGCCCAGTTTTGGGCCCCAGAAGGGGTCCCCTTTCCTGCAACAGCACCACGTCCCTCCCACAGGTGGGGAAATCACAGCCATCAGCTTTCACAAGTACAACAGACTAGGCTTACCCTCTGGGAAAACACCTTCAAGATCATGGCATCTCTCTTGCAAGGTAACTAGGGGGCACAAAACCTGTAGGCACAGTGCAGCCCCTGACCCCTCCAGGTTCACTTGGGGGTCACAACCCTCCCCTCCATCTGCCCTTTGCTATTCTTCTAAACTGCTTTCCCCAAAGGAATTCAAGAGAATACCCTCCAAATCTCTCCCACCCACCCCCACACCCTCTCCCACACATAGGAGAACCCTTAGCCCACCCACCAGAAGGATGGACCCACAGCCTCAGTGCTGTCTCATGTACTCCACCTATTGCCTCTGCATCCTTGGTCTACAACATCCCCCCCTCCCCTCTCCCTGGCTCTCCTCTTGCCCTACCGGGGAAGCAACATTTGTTCCAACAGGTCTTCAGCTGGAGTGTCCAAGGGAGAGAGGAAAACATCCTCTCTGCAGGGCAGAGACCATGGGAAGTTGAATTAAGAGCAGTTGGAAAAGTTGCCTAGATCACCATCCTTTTGGTATTCTGGGATCGATTTTTATACCTAACTTCTGATTATGGTGCTGATAATAATTTTGCATTTGTGGTAGTGAGATGAATTGAAAAGTCATGTTATTCAGGGAAATGAATATAAATTGAATGAAAGAATACTTAAAATATATATTCTGCTCTCGCTCAACTGACAAGTGCATGGAGATGGCAAAGACCTGGGAGGCCAGGTGGGTAGGCTGGTGCTGTGCTAGTCATTGATCTGCACCTGTTGCTGCTCCAAACACCCGGAGTCTGGGTCTCTTGTCTCAAGAGATATCTGGGGAGGATCTACCTGTACTGTGGCGATGGACTTTTCCACCCAGTTTCCTTCTGGGAAGGCTAAGCCGATGTCTTATTGGATCATAAAGGAAGATATCTTAATAACCAAAAGTTATAAGACAATATTCTTGATATTTTTATTTATTAAGGAAATTCACATTAATATTATAAGAAGGTATCAGCTCACAGCCTCCAGCATGGTTATGTTTAAAAGAATCAGTACACCAAATGCTGACAAGAATGTGGAGCAACTGCAATAATAGTTGCTGGTTTGAAACCATTCTAGGGCCCTGTTTGTCAGTTTCTAATAAAATTAAACTTGCAACTACTCCATGACCCAGCAGTACTTCTGTGAATGCAAAAGTACACAAAAAAGACTAGTACAGAATATTCACCAAAACACCAACAATATTCATCAATAACAATAACACCAAAATCAATATTATAGTACCAAAAGTAAGAAGTGGTATACACAGTAATATTTGGAGAAGGGCATGGCAACCCACTCCAGTATTCTTGCCTGGAGAATCCATGGACAAAGGAGCCTGGTGGGCTACAATCTATAGGGTCACAGAGTTGGACATGACTGAACTGACTTAGCACGCACGCACACGTACACAATAATACAGATATGCTTA